GTTGGTGGGAATGCAGACTGGTGCAGCCACTGTGGAAAGCAGTATGGAGATAACTCAAAAAATTAAAAATGGATCTGCCTTTCAACCCACTGATCCCACTTCTGGGAATATATCCAAAGGAACCAAAGCACTAATTTGAAAGAACATAAGCACCCCTGTGTTCATTGCAGTGTTATTTACAATCGCCAAGATATAGAAGTAGCCCATGTGTCCATCAATAAATGAAAGGATAAAACAACGATGGGACATTTACACAATGAAATACTAATAAATGGAGTATTAATTTACTAATTAGTAGTAATTTACTACTGGGGTAGTAATTTTACAGACTCTCGGCTGTAAAAAAAGAAGAAAATTTTACCCTTTGCAGTAATGTGGATGGACCTGGAGAACATTACGCTAAGTGAAATAAGCCAGTCAGAGAAATATAATTTCCATATAATTTCACTCCTATGTGGAATCTAACTGAACTAACAAGGAAAACAGAGACAGACTCACAGATGGAGAGCAGATGACAGCTAGTGGGGTAGGGGGAGCTTAGCGGGTGGAGGGATTGAGCAAAAAGGAGAAAGGACTCATGGTCATGGACAACAGTGTGGTGATTGCCGAAGGGAAGAGGGTATAAGGGGACTAAGTGGTAATGGGAAAAACACAAGAAAGATGAAATTTTTAAAAAACTATGCTCAACCTCATTAGTGGTAAAAGAAATGTAAAATGAAAGAATGTGGTTTGCCATTTTCTGTATATCAGATTGGTGCAAAATTAAGGGAGCTGACTGGCTCTATCACTGAAAATGAATGAATACACTGTATAGACTGTCAGGAACGATGTCAGTGTTATGCTGTTAGGTGAAAGAAGCAAGCTGTAGAACATTGTGCACTATGTCATCTTACAATACTTTTTAAAGAGCATATGTATATAAGAGGTGCTTTAATAATTATGTGTGTACTACAAATACATGACATCTTGTATAGCTGTAATCTCTTGGGATGGCATCTGGGGATGGCACTAAGATGAGTGTAAGTGTACATTTCTTTTTTTTAATTACTTTTCAGCTGGAAAACATTCCTTTTGTTATTCTTTATTTAACCCTTCTCAAGCTGAATAACTGATCTTTAGGAGATAGTTACCAGTCATTAGTTCAAGGGGTGTATATGAATAGAGTGCAGTATTTTATGGAATCTCAGTCAATTCTGATTAAATTCTTTAAATTCGGATTGATTCTTTAAGTCAGTCTTGCTGAATTGGGTCAATTATGTAGGGTTCTGGCCCTAACCCATGTCTTTGGTTGGATCTTGTTAAGATCCTTTTAGTCTTCAGCTTCCTGAGGTCTGTGCAAGGGCTGGAGTAGATCTGGTCCTCTGTTGGCTGTAATGATTCCCTATAGCATCCAAGGGCATTTTTACCTGTTCCACAAACACCCTGAGTGCTAACTAAATCACAGCATCCTGAATGCAGGTTATCAACCAGGTCGAACAAATCACTGTAAATACAGTCCTGTGGTTAGTTTGAACTTGATTTCAAGTTACTTGTTAGCAAAGAGTTAATAAGTGCAGACCTTTGGTCATATGGGTCTTTAAGGAAAGCTTTTTTTTCCCCATTCCAATGACTTCCTGTTCATGAGAAAATGAGAGGAAATGAACCTCTAACAGGAGGATGGACCCACCCTTTTCCAGTCGTGTGGCTAATTTGTCAGGTGTAATATTGGCACCTGGTGGCTTGTGTTGGCTTCTTGCCCACCCTTGCTGGGGAAGTATCCAAATACTTGCAATAGGCGGTAGAGGACTTCAAAGGCATTTGTAAGAGAAAGGATATTGTCATTAAAGAACTTAATGGTGAATACTCCCAATCATTTAGTGATGTCAAGATAAAAGGAAAATTTTTAAAACACATTATCTAGAGTTTTTCTAGCATATCATATGGCCTGTTAAAACAAAGCAATGTAGTTGATTTAGTAATAATACACTTTCAAGAGTGTATATCTACTAATTGAATGTCATTTTTGTTCTGTTTTTGAGAAATGAGCAAATGTATCAATTAGCTATAGGAAGAGTATGAATTGTTTCTTTAAGGATATAATTCTCGTTGCTCAGATTCACCTTTCAGTAAGTATTCTCTTTGTGCCTGCTAATAGAATACTTTCCTTTGACTCAAAAGAGAAAACTGCAAAAATACTAAGTGGTATCCAATGGATCTGATAAATGAAAAAGGATGATACAGGTTTTGGGAATTTATTAGGTATTTTGGATGGGCACAGCTGGTTCGGTTCCATACCTTTCCATTTTCAGCTAGAAATAATTACTACCTTTTGAACATGGTGTAGAGAATTATCCAGTAATTGGAGGTAAATTTGTCCACGAATGGGGTTTCAACAAACAATAAGCAGGAGTCATTAAACCATAATAAATTCTACGCAGTGATGGAACTTCCTCTCGTTTTTATCATTCTTGTAGGCTCTATCGGTTTGAGGGCACCTGAAGCTCTCCTGGCAGAATTAGCACTCGTGGACGTGGAAAACAGGAGTGATCGGTCCCCTGATGGTGTCATCGCTTGTAAACCACAATCAGCTCATTGTCATCAAATCCTCAACAAGAATTTATTGTTTATATTGGCCTAACACACTATCAAAGTTTTTTTCATAAATTATTAATTGGATAGATGTTTGTTGAGTGTCTACTCCATTGAAGGCTATGTAATTGGATTTTCTCTGGCAGGGATGAAAGCATAAAGGTCTCTCAACCCTGAGAGTTGAGAAATATTTCAACTTTCCAGGGATCATACACTCCTACAATCTGCTTTCCCGATCAACTTGAAACACATAAATAATTAGAAGTACCACACTGCATGATAAAACTGTAAACAGGGTGGGATTTCAGAAAAGAGGGGCTCAGTGTCTCTTCAAGGAAGAGAATAGCTCACTGGAATACTAAGAATAAAGAGTATCTGGACAACCAAAACAAGAAAACTTTGGATGCTCGCAGTGAGTTGGAGCTAAGAATGGGTGCAGAGGGAGGCAGGCCTCCTGTGAGGCCCAGAGGACTGCCACGCTGGTGCAGTTCTGTGTGCTGGGAAGTAAGGGAGATGGCTCTAGTGGCAACAGTACGAATGATCTGTAAGTTGGGAAGAGGAATGTAGGCTCCTGGCTGCATGGGATGGGGAATGGGGTAATGAAATTTAAGTAGTCATTTGGGAAGATGTTTCTTGCAGGGATTTATAAGGTAAGTACAGCAGGGAGAAGCTGTCAGGAGGGAGATTTATTAGGGGGCTTTTGTGGGAGACAGGGTTAAAAGAGAACCCCAGATGGTGATGGTGGAAATGGATAGAGAGAAATGGATTCAAGGGACATTTTTTGAAGGAAGGAAAGATGGGGCTGGGTGGCATTGGATACAGGAGCTGGGAGAGGAAAATAAGTCAAAGACAGCTCCAGACTTTCTGTACTGAAAGGCTGGATGGTTGATAACAGCAGTAATCTCTTGATGAAGGAAAGTAATGAGCTCTATGTTTAAACAGATTATACCTGGGATGGTATACCCTGGGAAATTATGGAACTATCTTAACAGGCAGCTGGAAACATGGCCCTAGAGAGTAACCAAGGGGCCTGGGAAAGACACAAAAAAAAATGATAGCTAATAGCCACATACCACCTACAAATCCAAATTCCACAGCCCAATTTTTCAAGGCTGTTTCCTCCTAGCCACATTGTACTTATTCAAGTTCATGTTCAGTTACCCCGAATCCTGGTCCAGTCACTGAGCTAACTATGCTGCTCCCCCACTCTTTGTGTCTGAATTCATGCTATTCTCCTTGCCTAAAACCCACTCTCTAATTATTAACTTCTCCCTGGGCATTAGGGCTGGCTCAGGTCCTTTCCACGTGAAGATGTTTTTCAAAAAATCCAGTGCACATTTTCCTCTTTTCTGAACTCCTGTAGCATTTACAGTTCCACTGTTTGTAAAGCACTCAATCCATATGTTGTTGTTTAATCAGATCAAACATAAATGTCTATCTTGTTTTGTCAGCAAAACTATAAATGCCTTGAGGATGAAGATCAATATTCCTCTTGCATCCAATAGGAATTATATTTGACTGCTAAGAATAGAGGCTTCCAAACAGAGGCATAGGTAGTCCAGTGTCTAATATGGCCATAGCAGTCTTGATGACCAAAGTCATTTTTTTCCATCTTTAGAAGACAACCTAGGAACAGCACACTCAGCAGATCTGTATGAAAATGAACATTCCCTTTGGTTTGTACCCAAATGCTGTACATATGTTTTGGATTGTATATTGTGTTTGTGTATTTATGCTTTGATTCACAGTGACTTCCCATGTTATTTACCAACTGTAAATAAAAAGAAATGGATGGAAAAAGTAGGAGTTTGAATATGAGAATTATGGAGGCAGGTAATCCAAAGGTGATTTGGCAAAACCCAATAAGAGATGAGACTCAACCTCCATGTACCTTTTCACTGAGCCATCTTCAGCGTGGATTCGTCACTTTGGAATCCCAAGCTGGTTGATCCCTTTTAAGTATAGCGTCAGTGCACAGAAAGAAGAGAAAAGGTGAGGGGCTTACCAACCGAATGAGCCCTGCCTCTATCATGCTTCCCTGGAAGCTCCACCCCCCCAGTTCTGCTTACTTGTCATTGGTCAGCAGTGACATATATAGCCACGCCTACTTGCAAGTAATGTTGCAAAATATCGTTCTTTTGGTTAGACAGACTTCCATCCTCAACAAAGTCAGATTGTTTTAGTAAGGAGAAGGGCTATTGAAAACTGATAAGCAACTAATGGTCTGTGCTTTGAGCCCTCCTTTCTACATACGAAGGTTGCTCTGTATATTCTTGTTTGGGTCTGTATGTACACACACATATAAAATGTGTATAAAATACATATGATGAGAGACTGAGGTTATGCTATGGGGTTGGCCCAAATGTCCCTTCAGTTTTTTTTTTGTAAAATAAAAGACACATTTTTCATTTTTACCAATAACTTTATTGGGTATTTTGAGTATGTTGGCTCTTGTTCTTAATTAATGTCTCAACTTGATCACCATCAGCTTCAGCTGGTCCACCTGACCATGGAGCATCGTCCTGCAGGAACTTTCCAGGATGAAACTTCGCAAACCACTTCGGGCACACTCAATCCACCACAGCACCTTGTCCTCCACTGCACAAATCTTTTTCTGCATTTTAGTAGTTTTACCTGTAGAGAAATATAAAGCATAATGTGCTGAAAATGTTGTTTATTTTCTTCCATCTTCAATATTAAAATAACTACACATAAGTTCACTGATTTTGATAAGTTTTTTTAACACATGCTGATAGGACACCTGTCACAATACAACCTAAGAAACTTGTCTCGAATGAAGTTAAAGACAATGAAGCATTACTAGAGCCATCTTATGGAAAATACCAAATGAACTTTTTGGCCAACCCAATACATATCTACATCTTTATCTCTATTTGAACACTAATATATAAAATATACATGAATATATTATATATGTAGAGAAAGAGATTTGCTTTATCAATCTCTGAGCACACACACACACACAAGCATGATAGTGTTAAAACTGAGCACAAGCAAATACATATTAGAAAAAAACATAATCTCATATATAACATTATACTAACCACCATGTCTATTCTAGTTAGGTATAAGTGGAGATACTTTTATCTCCACTTATACAAATAACTATTGGTATTATATAAATAACTATTGGTATTATACAAAATTAAACCAAGATTTTTCTAGTGTTATAGTAGCTTTGATTTGTTTTCTAGTGCTGACCTGACTCTCTGACAACATTCACGCCCTCACATTTCTTATAAAAGAAGGTACTGACTTAGTGATTAGAGGTTTAGTGTGTGCATTCTTTTTTTACTCCTCACCCAAGGACATATTTTTATAGTTTTCAGAGAGAGAGAAACATCAGTGTGAGAGAGAAGCGCCAATTGGTTGCCTCCTGTATGCACCTGGGTGTGGGAATCATATGCGCCCCGACCAGGAATCAAACCTGCAACCCAGGTATGTGCCCAGATCGGGAATCAAACCCACAACACTTAATTTATGGGATGGCGCTCCAACGAACTGAGCCACGCTGACCAGGGGAGTTACACGTCCTGAAGTTTCCCCTTTTGTTCTCTTCTACTGCCATTGTATAACTAAGCAATGATCCTTAAAAACTGTGTTTGCAGCATATTTTTGAATCTTATCACTATTATCAGCACAGAAAAGATGAAAATACGACAAAAAAAGAAACTGGTGATCACTCCACACAGTCATGGCCATTCTATCAGAGTCTCACAAAACCCACAGAAGCACCCCCCAAAACTGTCTCCATTGTCACTGTTCACACCATGTCACTCATTGTTCACCACCCTGACCTGTTCTCTCTTGTATCTCAGACAATGAGTCGATCAGTTTATGAGCAAAGCTGTGGTTCAGACTCAGATCACTAAACTCCAGGTTCTTGCTACCATGTGACTCATAACAGCAGCAATTTACTACGTTTGCACAGAAGCATGCAGCATGCCTCACCCGCCATGCACTGCAGACACAGCCGATACTGTGCAGCCTTTTTCTGTATGGAAATGCTATCCCCAAATCATGGCAGGAATTGGAAGGGTAGCAATCGGGACACTGTCTCATACTCTTTGGTTATTGGAGGAGCTTCCCCTTACAGGTCACACACACTCAACGTGTAGCTCTTAGCCCTGCAGGTCAGAATGCCCAGTTGGAAACCCTTGGATTAATCTATTGGGGTAGGGTGACATGAGCTTGCAGGTCCATTTCCCTGACACTCTTCCTATAATGTAGTCCTAGTCAATGTATTTATGTTGCGGTAGTAAAACAAACAAATCCATAAGAAAAATAAAAATGCACTGTACCTGCTTGCCTTCAACATGGCACTTGATCTTTTAAATTTCTAAGACAACATTATCACTTAGGGTGTAGGCACGTCTTAATCTGCGGACAGATGGAGTATGTGGCAGGCATTTTCACACCAGGACCAAAAGTGATGTAATTACCTGAGCATCACAAAGGAGGCAGGTAGAGGAACCCGTGCATATCCTATAAAAGGGATGACAATGCTTAAGATAACGAGTGGTAACACAGATCTTTGGCTGTGAAATAGTTAAAGACAATCCACATTAATTGGAATGCCCTTGTTTGTTTTCTTCTGAAACCTTGAAGTTATCCAAATGGAGTGTGAATTAAAAAAAAAAGGAAAGAAATGTTTTCTTGGGAGAAGACAATATTTTGAAATGTTTTTAGTTTATGAGAGCTCGTTTCCTTCAGTCTCCCAGTTGCTGCATGAGGTTGAACAAATGTTAGCTGCAACTAATTAATTAAGTTTGCAGAAAGTAGCAGCAGGGGATTGGGAACTTGAAGTGGAAGGGAGCGTTTTGACTGTAAACATGTTGCCTGCCTGAGAGACTCTATCTGGATGGAGTGGTTGCCGAGTTATCCGAGTTATCCAAAGAAATGCAGCGTCTCTGGGAGAATCGGGCTTGGCAGGGAGGGGAAAAAATAACAATGTCTCTTGCTGGCAAATCCATTCATTTACTTCCTGGGTTCATCTCATGCATTTTGCTGGGTTCCAGCCACACACTATTTACTGAGCATCCTCTGTGCGTGTGAAGGTGACGCCATGGACCGGCCCTCAGAAGAAAGGGGACTTGACTTATTCTGTGTCGGGACCTCTCTCTCTATTACATCATTTCTTTCTGTACAGCAGACATAACTCTCTCGTTAAGTAGATAGGGAAATGAAGACTTGGAGAATTGGGGGACTCAGGATCAGTTGGTAGTTGGTGGAAACAGGATTTGAACCCAGACTGATCTGACACTGGGTCTTTTTTCAGGTACACCAGGGTGCTGTGTGTGTGTGTGTGTGTGTGTGTGTGTGTGTGTGTGTGGTACAGGGTGGGGCAGGTCTGCCCAGAGCCCAGCAGGCTCTTGGCTGGTATCACTTCTGGCTGAGAGAAGTATCACTTGGGGGAAAGACAAAGGGCTGTGGAAGGTAGAAAGGTGATTCTCAGACCCAGAGGTGGTCTGCAGATTACATTGAGAAATACTGGATTACAGATGCACCTGAGCTACATTTCCTGAACTTGGGTCCTTGGAGCCCTCAGACTACATTGGGCTGGCTGGTCACATTTCTTCTCTCAGAACTTTGAACCCAGATATCATATCAAAGAAAGGAGAGGGGATTAAAGCGAAAAGGTCATGATACGGAGAGAAGGACCAGGATCGCCATAACGGACTTGGGGAGATCTGAAGTGGTGAGGAAGTAGAACACTCATGATTCATCAGAGGAAGCTGGTTGGTAGAGAGGAGGTAAGAACAGAATCATGGAGAGAAGCAAGGACAAAGCAAGTTGAGATGAATTCACCTCCAGCTCTTAGAGCTGTTTCTGTTCCTAAGCTCTTTGTGTTCCAACCATGATGCCAGACACGCTGATCTTGCTTTTTAGTACAGGCCCGCTACTCTAATTTTGTCATTTTGCTCTTTGCACTGCCAAGACTAGGTACTATTTCTATGTAGATTGGGACTTGTAAAAGAAATTTGTTGGAAATGCACTTGACCGATTCAGGAACCTAAGAAATTCAGGACTATTTGAGGAGAACTGCACACAATTTTCTTAGAAATGAAGCAAGACCTAAGTACATATCATCAGTCTTTTATTGAGTTTTTGATGGATATTCCTGGTGCAAATAATCGATGCAAAATAGAAATTACAGTATCTAAAACTGCATTTGGTAAATATATTAGAACCTAAAACTTGACTAAAGAAGGGAATCTTCCCGACTAAATTTAGATCTGGACAGTTTGAATGGGTAAAATTAAACTTGGTAGAAACTACAGTCGCAGAGGAAAACTCACAATGGCTGACGCTATGAATGATGTAATTCATATGGTCAAAAATACTGATCAGCCCTGGCTGGTATAGCTCAGTGGATTGAGTGTGGGCCTGCGAACCAAAGGATCGCAGTTCGATTCCCAGTCAGGGCACATGCCTGGGTTGCAGGCCAGTTTCTGGCAGGGGATGCACAAGAGGCAACCACACATTGACATTTCTCTCCCTCTCTTCTTTCCTTCCCCTCTAAAGATAAAAAATAAAATGTAAAAAAAAATACTGATCAACAAATCAGAATTTTTGTCAAATTGAACTTTGTCAAATGGAAATTGAAATTTGTCAAATTTTTGTCAAATGGAAAAACTGAACCAAATAAAATTCATGTCAGTAAAATGTGAAATGGAATAATATTGGGAAAAGCTTTTCTGTTCTATGCTGAAAATTACTTGTACAATCAATGCGGACTAGTGGGAACTTCTGCTTTTCAGTAGTATATTGTGGGAAGCTGTCGATTTCTGTAATAACTAGAAGAAATGAGATAAATTTGAAAGTATATATTTTCAAAGACATTGGAGAACTAGGAAGCAAGAACTATTCCGTAAACTAACATTCCAGAGGGAAGTTCTCCTCCCAGATTAGCTGAGATTCCTGGCCATTTTCTTGCCTGGAGACACTTACAAGTATGGTCACAGGCTGAGGGTCAGCCAGGCTTGGCCTACACAGAGGGACTCCAGCAGGGAAAGACAAATGGGTAGAGGAAGCGGACAAGCTGGGACCTGGGAGAGCTCCAGATGTTTTAACCAAGTTTTCCTGAGGGACATTTGCTTCAACTGCGGTGGCCCCAGAGGCTAGGAGGCTGGGCTGGGAAAGCAGAGTGAGGCATCTCATTGCTTAAAGTGCTTGGAGGACCCTCTCTACGGACCTACCGAAAACATTCCACTCTCCTTGAGATATTTGGAAACAGAGATGGGCTGATTGTAACTGAAGTTGACGTCTAGCTCCAATTCAGCTGAATTCCTCACTGGGTCGAGGTGAGCCGTCTCTCTCCCTATCTGCCTTTGAGAAGAAAGTGCAAAGCTTCTAAGGGAAATAACAAAGACTTCATTCAGTCTCTAAGGTCCTTCACACATGATGTTCGTTATACGGTAAGATATTATGAAGCATGTGAAGAAGCAGAGAAACATGACTAACAACCAAGAGAAAAAGCAAGCAATAGAAGCAAACCCATAGATGAGCCAGGTGTTGGAATTAGCTAATAGGCTTTAAAATAACTATTATAACATATTAAATAAAGTGGAGGAACGGATGTACAAAAGGGACGAAAAGATGGACAGGATCAACTGAAAGTTTGAGTCTACATAAAGGAATCAATCAGATATTCTGTAATCTAACACTATTATATCTGATAATAAGAATTCATTGTTTAAGTTTAATAGCATACTTGATGTAGCAGAAGGTGCCATTGGTGTAGTCAAAGACAAGTACAAAGGAAATAGCCAAACAGGGTTACAGGAAGAAAGAACAAGAGAGATGGAACAGAGTTAATTGTGTGCACTAGGAGTCTCAGACGGATGGGAGACAATGAGAAGACAATGAGACAATGAGAAGCAGCAATATTTGAAAAATAATTGTCAAGTGCCTTCCAAGAAACTGATGAAAGACATCAACCCGTAGATTCAAGAGGCTTAGCAAACTCCAAGCATGAATGAAGTATGTGTGGTTGGGGAGGAGGGGTATAAGGGGACGAAGTGGTAATGGAAAAAAATACAATAACAATTTTGAAAAAAAGATAAACACAAAGTGACATTTAGGTATATTAGAGCGAAACCATTAAAAACCAATCAAGTTGCTCTGGGCAATTTCTTCTCAATGAAAATGTTGGTATTACTCTGATTAAAATGTTTTAATCAGTTACAGTCTTGGCTAGCATAGCTCAGTGGATTGAGTGCGGGCTGCAAACCAAAGGGTCGTCAGTTCATCTCCCAGTCAGGGCACATGCCTGGGTTGCAGGCCAGTTCCCCAGTGGGGGCCACATGAGAGGTAACCACACACTGATACTTCTCTCCCTCTCTTTCTCCCTCCCTTCTCCTCTCTAAAAATAAATGAATAAAATTTAAAAAAAAACAACGTTTACTTACAAATACCAAATCAACATTTTAAAATAAATACACAGTATATTGCTAAATTTCCTATTAATATTATAGAAAACAAGTTTAAAAACACTGACATTTCACAGACTATTGAGAGCCCAACAGTTAAACATACTTTGTAAAAGCAAAGTACAAAAAGGACGTTAGAAATATTTTTTGAAGAAAAATATATCATCCGATGGCAAAGAAATGTGAATCCCGACAATGAATGGCACACACAGCACTTCCGGAGTACTCAGTCACCACCCAGAAATCACTGTCTGAGTTATGAAATGGACACGGTTCGAGAAGAAACAGTTTCAATTTGTTTCTGAATTAGCCTGACTTGTTTTTGACTCTCTTTCCTAAGAAAAGAGGTAGGTTTTTATTGCTCTTGGGACAACATACTGCGTGTGAACTGGGAAGCAGGGAGGAGTCGCCCTTCTCTGCTGATTCCTGAGGTCAAATAGGAGGAGGAAAACCAAACCAAAACAAAAGGAACCTTTCTCCCCACACCAGTGGGGGAGTTTGCTTCTTGCAGCGAAAGGACCTAAGTGAGATCCTCCTCCCCTGTTTCTGCTTCAGCAAGCCTTCCCTTACTTAATCAGTCTAGCATTTTGGCTGAAGGAGGAGCTTTTTTGCTTAGCTGATACCTCTAATCCTGAAATCCCTAGATTTTTAAAGCTGCATTTCTGTGTCCATTGCTGCCGCACAAAGTGAGTGAGCGGCCTGGGGGTTCCGAGGAAGGAACCATTTTGGGTCCTGACCCTGCAAAGCAGTGTTCAACACCCCATCACTTTTGCCTTTGGGGTCTCTTTACTATGGTGGCAGCACTTACGTTTCCGCATTTGCTCAGGTGATTCTTTGAAAATTAGATGCTACACAAATATTACAAAGTAGGTTGCCCCTAAATTAGGGACAGATGAATAGTGGAAGCATACTCAAACACCTGGAAATGGATGGATTTCAGCCCGTAAATTTCATGCCGATGAAGGGATGCATGTACCTTGTGAAATTTGAGTATTTGTCCCTGCTGAATTTTTCCAGTTCTGCGTTGCTGCCGATTTTAAGCTTGTTCTGCTTTGCTCCCCCCGTCTGGTCCTTAAGCCAGTACTCATGGAAGGTGACGATATCAAGACCGCTGACGGTATCAAGACCCCGTGGCAGAGAAGAGGCAGAGTGGAACTGTGGTTGGCTGCCCAGATCAAGCATCAGCTGTGCACACGCATTCGCCCGGCGCACAACCTCCCTTATTAGCCCAGCTTTCCCTCGGTGTTGAGAGCACCTGGAGGGCTGTGGCCCTTTTATTGGGGGCTTAGATTTCCTTCCTAGTTCTTGCCCTTCTTTCTGCCAGGAGACAGATCCTGATTCTCATGACTGGCTTATCTGGAGTTGGGTATTGCCTACTATAATAAGTATCATTTATTCAGTATGTCTTTTAAGAAGCTTTTTTTTTTTATCAGTCATTTACTGTGTGTCTGCCACCATGTTAGGTGCTGAAAATTAACTATTAATAATCTAGATTATTCATATAAACCAACCTTACAAGCAGACCCAGAATGAGAGAAATGTGTTGGAATCTGGGCCTTCTAGAACTCACTACTTGTTTTAGCCATAAAAGGGACTTTTTTTTTCTTTCTCATTTGATCTGTGAAAATATTGATCTTTTTCTTTCAGGGAACATGTTTTGGGAAAAATAGGAATTAGGTCTATCAAGATCCCCATGTTTGTCGGTAGCTTTGTCGCTGGGGACAAATCACAGCCAGAGGCAGGTCTCCTGGGAGCTATGAGCATGACCGTGTCATTTGCTGAGAATTTGCTCACCTGAGAAAAAGAGCCAATTCAGGGAGTGCCTATAAAGTCTCAGTAGCTACCCACTAGTAGTGACATTTTCCAGCTCCAGATCGAGAGAAATTCTCAAGCCCAACTCACCATTGAGCTTTAGGGATTCCCTTGTTTTTACAAATCACTAAAATGTTTCTGGGGAGGTAAAGAAACAACAATCTCATTTTTGGGGGCTGCCCAGTCTTCAAGGTCGGATCTACTAATAGGCTCCACCCACAAGGGCGTGTCCGTAACACCACGAGAGCGAAGGCTGTTTTTTAAGTCCTGGGAAACCTTCACCGGAATTCTGACCCTGCAGAGCCGCATGCTTAGCACAGCGCCACACTCGGTTTCTTACCCCTCATTGTCCATGATCGCCTCAGCTGGGGCTGGACATCATGGAAAGATTCAGTGGAAACCGAATGCTTCTTTCAGGAAGTCCTTCTACCACCTCCCTCCTCATAGCTTCCCTCCTCTCGTTTGCACAATTGTGTACACCAAATATTTCATCTTACTTGATGAAAACATTGGCATGTATCTGTTCACTAGTGACTTCCCCGTGGGTCCTCTTTCAGGTTAGGGAGGCCGGGCCATGATGCGCCTTCCTAGGTCCTTAGCACCGAGCAAGCTCAGTGCTCCAAATAAGGTTTGAGTTTGTCATGGCCTCTCTCGCAAAACCCGTTTGTAAAGCTTTCTATCCAACATATTCTGCTTTTTGCAAAATGGTAGTTGCATGTCCTGTGCATATCTCACCTTTTCTCTTGGTTATCCCATCGAAGTGGAAATGGGCGAGTCACACGAAAACATTGTTTCCTGCTGAGTTCAGGTGGGTGGCCCCGTGAATAGCTTTATTAGCTAAGAAGTGGTTTGATTGTTTCTGCCTTTGACAAAATGAAGAACTTCAGAGTGTCCCTGAAGGAGAGACAATGGAAGGATTGGAATTACTGGCTCCACTACCCTCAGGCAGGGTAAGAGAGTTCAAAACAGTCTCTCTGAAGCACAGATTCCTCTCTTTCTGTAAAGAGCAGCGAAGGCCAGGCTGACGACATGCAAATACTTGCAAAGTGAAAATGGATACACTTCCAGGGCTCCTCGTCTCTGGCCTCCGGAGCACAGCCTGCCAACTGTGCGTGCACGTTGGTTTGGCACCGAGACAAATGTTCCCTGGAGCATAGACTGAAACCACCAAACTGATATCACATGGGACACCAGCCAGAGCCTGACCTTGCTCGCCGTAGGTGAGCAGCTGTGGAATTAACCTGTGATGGTCTCCTGCTTACGCCTGGTTGGTGGCCTGGGTGCATTTTTTCTTTCTTTCTTTCTTTCTTTCTTTCTTTCTTTCTTTCTTTCTTTCTTTCTTTCTTTCTTTCTTTCTTTCTTTCTTTCTTTCTTTCTTTCTTTCTTTCTTTCTTTCTTTCTTTCTTTCTTTCTTTCTTTCTTTCTTTCTTTCTTTCTTTCTTTCTTTCTTTCTTTCTTTCTTTCTTTCTTTCTCTTCTCTCCTTCCTTCCTTCCTTCCTTCCTTCCTTCCTTCCTTCCTTCCTTCCTTCCTTCCTTCCTTCCTTCCTTCTTTCTTTCTCTCTCTCTCTTTCTTTCTCTCCCTTTCTTTTTTCTTTATTCTTTCTCTCTCTCTTTCCTTCCCTCCCTCCCTCTTTTTTTCCTTCCTTCCTTAATGCCAAATTTGAACTTATTGCTGTCCCCAGTCCACTGATATCTACCAGCCACAACCGCCCCCCCCCAGTCTTGGTTTGTGGATAGTGGGCAGCTACATGGCTCCAAAAAACGGGCAAGCCACACAGTTACTTCTTGCCTGGTGTCCTCTTGCCCCTTGAGAAGGAAGGGCCACTAATGGGCCATTCCAAAATTGGGCCAGGGGCTGGAGGCTGGCAGGGCCAGCGTCTGAGACTGCGGTCTGCTCCTTCTGCACCTTCCTCTTCTACGTGTGCCCCCACTGCTCCAATTCCTTCCATCCCCCCACTTTTTTGTTTCTAACCTTTATTTTTTCAGAGCTTCCAATATCATAAGGATTTTGGTGGTAGGGGCTCTGAGCTCATAACTCAGAGCTTTAATTTAGCATGTGGGGTGCTGGCTCTCCCAGCAAGCTGCTTTGGTCGCTATTTCCACCTTGAGAGAGTAAAGGGGACAGGGCGCAGTGGACGGAGTAGAAGCGTGAAGCCAGAGACCTCGACAGAGTCCCAGCCCTGCTTCTAACTGGCTGTGGGACTGCGGCCGGGACACCCCCTGGCCTCAGGCCTCAGTTTCCTCACTACGGCCTGGGGTGCTTGGACCAGATGATTTCTAAGGCTTGTCTCATTCTGCCATGCTACAGAGCTCACGAGCTCTGTGAAATCCATATTGGGTTGGGCCAGTCTCACTTTTCTTTTTTTTTTTTTTGAAACAGCTGATTGTTAAATGAATGAACGAGGAGCCGTGAGCAGAGTCCCTAAGCGAGAGCCCTCAGATAAGAACATCGAGGGGAAAATCTTTCCTTAAAGTGGCACCCAGAGGCTTGTAGCCCAGAAATGAAACTGTACGTCCTGTCTAGAAATGCAGAAGAGTGTTTTCCTCCAGGGGAAGAAAATGATGCAAACGATATTGGTTGTTTTCCAGGGATCCTGTTTCCGGACTTGAAGCATAAGCACATATAGTCATTCAGGTAAAAATTGTACTTTTGGAAGGAAAAGGTTAAAGTTGGCTACTGATATTCATCAGGAGATGGACATTTAATCTTTAATCTCTTGTCCTAGGCCTCTACTTTGGATCAACTCATTATCCCGAATAAACGATGTGTCATTCCCATTATTTATGTCTCACTGCAGCCACAGTCTCCGGGCCTCGTATTAGTGAGCACCATTCATTTCGACCCATTCAGCATTAATCTCCCTGCTAACATCTTTCCTGTTCTATGTGCTGTCCCCTATTTGCTTTTATGTTTTCTGCAGAGTGTTTATAAAAGGATAATCTTTTACAAAGCAGACAGAATTTTTGTGTATAAACTGCTCTGTTTGAATGCCTCATTGATATACCATCTAAAAACTGAAGTGTTCAGCAAGATTAGCAAAGCCCTGAGCTACTGAGCTGGGGAAAACATGAGAACCAGTTTCTTCTCTCCAGGAGGCAAAGGTGATGAAAGATGCCTCTGCTCTCACAGGGGCATTGCCCACGCAGGTCCTGATAGGCCTGGTTGCCTGGAAATTAGAGGGGCACAACGTGGAGCCCCTCTGAAGTCACTGGGAAAGGGAGTGGAGGGCGTGGTGGCCCCGTGACTTCTTTTCTAGAATTTTCTCAGAGAATGCCATGGCTCTACAAATGCTGAATTCACATGTAGTCCCGCTTCAGCTACATCCTTTCAAACTTCCGTGAAGTCTCTGCATGCTGTTGCTCAGTTGTTCACTGAGGTTAAATTACTTGTGTTATTCCGGGCCACCCTGTAGAAAAGGCAGTAGGAACTAAGTAAAGATCCACAGAAGAGGGTGGTCTCTTCCTGCCTCCTCCGTGTCCTCTCTCCAGGGATTGGGAACAGCTCATCCAAACAGCTCTCTTTTGCCCAGAGCGGGAGAAGACAGATCTCTTTATTTTACAATGGACAAAGAAGGTTCCTTTGTGGAATTTTGCATGACATGGGGTCCCAAATATACCACCCTTGAAAAGACGTAACAGATGGACTCTGACAATAGGAATACCTTCAAGAAACTTAAAAAAAAAATCAGTGGGAAGGGGCTATGAGTCAGGCCACTGAGGGAGCTGCGCACAGGAAGCCGCACTGAGCTGACGATTTGTACCTAAGACAGGCAGGTTCAGCTGGTAGGGCTCCAGGCAACCCTTTGAGACTCTGGGGTGTTTGGTTGGCAATGCTGTGGAGCTGGAAAAAAAATCCTAAGATGCACAGTGCCAAAAACTATACGTGCCTTCGAAGAGTACTTTTCTAACAAATCGATCACTTTGATTACTCAATAACAAGGCTTGTTATTTCTAAGGGGTGACCTTTTGCCCACACTTCCACATTTATTAGGGAAGAGTTCAAAACAGACATGTGGTTGGGCCATTTTCATGCTATAAAGCCTTAACTATGACGGGCCTGCCAAATCTCTTCTGAAGATCTAAGCTATGAAAACACTGGAAATCTGTCCATCAAGACTCTATCAACAGTGAGCACTGTTTAGGATTTTGTTTTAGCTCGGGGTCATCCTTGGCGACCATGGGTTACAGCGCTCACTGGGATGGGAGCCCTTGCCTGAATCCGCAGTCCGCACTGAGATGAGGAGGACACACATTTGGAAAGACCTTGGATCCAGTTCTTCAGGGCACTTTGTGTGGCCTTTGGGGAAACTGACAACCAATGACAGTTCTTTCTCATCACTAGGCAAGAAAGCTCTGCCCTTGGGGGTGATGGAGGGATGGGGAGAGATGGGGGTGGGGGATTCTTACAGTGAGCCTGGGTCAACTGCAATGACCAAAGGAGCACAGGGCCCAGGTTCCCGTGACAGGGAGGCAACCTCTTGACTGCAGGGACATTCCCGGTGTTGGCCCATCTCACTCTGAGCCACCTTAAGAATGTACAAAGCACCTTAAGAATGTACTCAAGCCCAGGGGCTGCTAGAGTGATTTCAGACATGTTGGTCTCAGTGGTGCCTTGTCTTGAACTCTATCTCTTCTATTTTCATTCTTTTTTTAAAAATATTTTCTTTATTTATTTTTCGAGAGAGAGGAAGGGAAGGAGAAAGAGAGGGAGAGAAACATCAATGTGTGGTTGCCTCTCATGTGTCCCCTGCTGGGAACTGGCCTGCAACCCAGGCATGTGCCCTGACTGGGAACCGAACCGCGATACTCTGGTTCGCAGGCCCGCACTCAATCCACTGAGCTACGCCAGCCAGGGCCCTCATTCTTTATTTCTACACTTTTATTCCTTTTTCTTCTCTTCTTTTCTCTTTAATTTTTTTTAAACTTCCCTCCCTTTCTTTCTCTTTCTCTCTGTTACTTTCCTTCTTTATCTTGGAGCTACTGGGGACTCTAGAGTATTAAAAACATGACTTCCCTGACCCGTGTTGCTCAGTTAGTTGAGCACTGTCCTGCAAAGTGAAAGGTCACTGGTTCAATTCCTGGTCAGGGCATATGTCTGTCTAGGCTGTGGGTTTGGTCCCTGGTCGGGGCACATATGAGACGCAACTGATCGATATTTCTCTCTCTCGTTTTCTCTCTCCCTTCCCCTCTTGCCAAAAATAAATAAATGAAATCTTAAGAAACAAACAGCCCACGATCCTTGCTTCAGGAAGGTTACAGCATGAATAAATAGGTAGATACGGCTAACAGGACACGGGTCTGACTCACAAACGGCCTCTGGAGCTCCTTTTGCATTTCTGCACCTATCACCAGCGGCTGCCTGGAGCCCTGCGTGGAGAGGATTCTGAGTTCAGGACTGGGCTCAGAGGGAATGAATGCCCTGACCAACTAGATGTGACAGCAGAGGACACAGGGGGAGCAGGGAGGAAGGGCACTCGTGGCGGAAACTTGCCATCCTGGGTCTAAATCAGGGTCTGTCAACCGTGGCATGATTGACATTTGGACTGGGAAAGTGTGTTGTGGGGGCGTCCAGTGCATTGTGGGCCATTCAGCAGCTTCCTTGGCCTCTACCCACTAGATGCCAGTAGCACCCCCACAGTTGTGACAACTAAAACTGTCTTGAGCCATTGCCAAATGTTCCCTGGGGGGTAAAATTGCCCCTGTTTTAAAATCATTGCTCTGAATAATTACCACAGGACTAAACACAGGAAAGTAAATGAGAACATTAAAGGATGCAGAACTGTAGGGAGGAGGTGAGGCGGTAACAAGGGAGGAGAAATTCACAGTCTCCGCTGTTGCCTGATAGGCCGTGCACTGTGCTACATCTTCACAGTTCCAAGGTCATGTCCACCACATACTCAGGACCCTGGGGGAACAGAGCCTTAGATCACAGTAGGATGGATTGAAGTTATGCTGTAGATTATCTTATAAGATTGGTAGAACTCGGGATCATTTTATCCTTGCAGGTGGAATTTTCTCTGCTGGTGAT